GGACGGGGTTCCTGCATTTGTCCTGCTTTTGCCTTTTAAAAATGAGATCACCCTCCTCTGAACGGGCTGGGAGAGGACCTAGAGGGGCCTCTGTGGGGGAGAAAAGGAGCATTTCCAACCCTTTGCAGTTCTGGGGAAGCACAGACAGAGGGGTGGGCAGGGAATCTGCTTGAGTCTCCTGCCAGGACTCCTGTGTGTCAGACCCTCCCTCCCACCTTCTGCTCTCCCAGTGGGGAGCAGGCTCAGCAGGTGCACTGTGTGCAGAGCCATCAACAGGGATCCCTGAACGGCTTGTCCTGCAGCTCTTGAATTAATCCTGTTCCTGACTCGACACAGTCGCAGGCACCTGGCTGACAGCGTAGGGGAAGGGTCAGCGTCTGTGCCTCTTGAATAGCCCCTGCCTAGAGTGAGTGCAGCCATTGTGGATGACGTAGCCCCGCGAGTGCTCAGAAAGGGCCAGGACTGTGACTGTACAACAGCTCTGTAGGTTTTTCATAGTCTGTGGATCAGATTCACAGCCGGGACTGGACTAGGCCCGGTGTCGTGGGAAACAACGTCCACATCCCTTCTCTATAGTGCTGTATCGAGAGGAATACAGAGGTCAGAGCAGCCACCAAGATGGTTTATTGTAAGCTACATACCTAGCTGTCTCCTGCTTCTCCTGGAACACTATTACCATTTAAATGCTGCTGTTTGCCTCAGTAAATTTCCCCCATTGCAGTTTCCACTCATCCCTCCCATGGGTCTTGGCCCTAGAGCCCATCTGAACCTCTCTCTACACAGTGCTCAGTAGCTCATGTCATCTTGGATGCAAGGGCCAAGGAAGGAAGAGGTGCATGAGGACCATATTTTTCATCTCCCTCATCACCAGAGCTGGATCCATGTGATGAACTTCACTTGACTTAACAAACCTTCACTTGACAAACAGCCTGATGATCCTTGCACGCAGGGGTTTGCTTTTCACACTGTACACGATCGGGTTCATCAGGGGCGGAACCAGCAGGTAGACGTATTCAAAGAGAATCTGAAGCCAGTGAGACGAGCTATTTCCAAATCTGTGTATCACAGACAGACCGATCATTGGTGTGTAGAAGAGTAGGACGGCGCAGAGGTGGGAGACGCAGGTGTTCAGGGCTCTGAGGCACTCTGCACGGGATGTGATGCTCAGCACCATTTTGAGGATCATCACATATGAAAGGAGGATAACTAGAGAGTCCAACCCCACCGTGGAGAGCATTATAAACAAGCCATAGATGCTGTTGACTGTGATGTCCGCACACGCCAGCTTCATGACCTCATGGTGCATACAGTAGGAATGGGAGAGGATATTGGCTTGACAGTATGGGAACCGTTTCAAGAGAAAGGGGTATGGGAATGCTAAAGCCACCCCTCTTAGCACACACACGAGTCCCATCTTGAATATTCTTGGCAGGGTCAAGATGGACGTGTATCTCAGTGGGTCATGGATCGCGATGAAGCGGTCAAAGGCCATCAACAGGAGCACAGAGGATTCAATGTATGAAAGGGAGTGGTTGAAGAACACTTGGGCAAAACAGGCATCAAAGCCGATTTCCCTAGAGTGAAACAAGAACACGCCTAGTGTTGTCGGCATGGTGGTCATTGATAAGGCAAGGTCTGTGGTGGCCAACATGGAAAGGAAAATGTACATAGGTTCATGGAGGCTTGGTTCTGTTTTAATAATGAACAGAATGCCAGTATTTCCTATTATCAAAATGGCATAAATAAGGCACAAGAGAATGGAGATACAGAGATGGATGTCTTCATGTCCCTCTATCCCAGTAAGAAGGAACACTGCAGGCATGGATTTGGTGTCATTGACAGCTAACATGATGTACTGGGTAGATTCAAGGAGTTTTGAATTTTCTTTCCTGTGTGGAAAAAGAGTAAAAGACTTGACATTATTTTATTAGATATCAGTCTGCTCTTAGAAAGTAGAGGGTAGTTATGACATGAGAACCCCAGTATCTCAAGGAAGATGAGTAGAAACTCTTGGATTGACACTTCTGATAGGAAGTTAGGGGCTGCCAGATTGGGTGAGACCTGTAGTCCAGGTAGCCCAGTGTCTGGTACTAGAAACTGCAGATGAAGTGGAAGAAGTACTGGAATAGGCAGCTATGAGATGACCTGCTCCCATAAAAATTCCCCTCTTCCAAGACCCAGAAATTCAGCCTATTCTGGGGTGCAAATCATGACCTTTTATTGACTGTATTATTATTTATTTGTCCCTTCACTAGCGCTATTGATTATAAATATTCTATATTTTCTTCATCCTGAACCTCCAAATTATGCCTCTATATCTCTGCAGTACATGGGATTAATTCTTTGGCTCAGGTGCTGACACCTGACTCAATAACATCACATTCAACAGTGACAGATTTATACAGATAAATTTGAACAGACCCAGTGTCACAAGTTACCCCAAGTCACCTCCTCCTCGGGTGCTTTATCACAGGGACTGGCCTTTTAGACCACCATCCGTGGCTCCGCTCAGGACCGGCATGTGCCCACTCTGATATTGCCTAATGGGGGCTTGACTTCCGGTAGCGGAAAGAGGGTCCGGGCCCACCCTCACTCCGAACCCCAGCCCAGGGCCCTAAGGCGAGGTCATTTGACCTGGCTCAGCAAAGGGGGTTGTTGCCCCAAACCCTCCTCTCTCGAGTTTCGTGGCCCTGCCCTGGGCTGCTTCTTCCCCCAGATGTCTCACCTATTCCCTATCCTCCATGACACGGCCGGCCTTACCCGGCTCTTTCTCCTCCCCCGGGTCACGATCCCTGGTCGCCTCTCTCTCTAGGGAGCCATCCTGGCCCCCTTTTGAATTTCCCGCCTCTGTGTCTGTGCTCCGCCCTTCGCCAGTGTCTTCTAAGCGTCGTGCCCCCGCCCTTTGCGGGGGGGACGCCAGTGATGTCACCCGCTGGCGCTGGCGCTGGCTCGAGCCGGTCTTATTATTATTTTGGTTGCCCTCCTTCATTCTCATAGGACCTGCATCCAATCCCCATGCAAGGATTTGTAGATAACTGGCACGTTAACAAACTAAGAGAGGTGGTTACTTCAGCTGAGCGAGGATTGGGGGAGTGTCAAAAACATGTAAATAGTGCAAACACCAGATTTACACTAAAATCCAGTTGTGTGTGCAAGTTACTTAAACTAGGCGGCTGTGTCTACATTGGCACCCCTTTCCGGAAAAGGGATGCTAATGTAGACTTTGGAATAGGCAAATCCATGGGAGATTTAAATATCCCCTGCGGCACTTGCATTAACATGGCTGCTGCTTTTTTCCGGCTTGGGGAAAAGCCGGAGAAAAGCGCCAGTCTAGACGTGATTCTCCGGAAAATAAAGCCTTTTCCGGAGGATCTCTTATTCCTACTTTCAAGTAGGAATAAAAGATCCTCCGGAGAAGGCTTTATTTTCTGGAGACTCACATCTAGATTGGCGCTTTTCTCTGGCTTATCTCCAAGCCGGAAAAAAGCGGCAGCCATGTTAATGCAAATGCCTATTCCAAAGTCTACATTAGCATCCCTTTTCCGGAAAGGGGTGCCAATATAGACACAGCCGGCATGTTTAGAAGGGTGATGGGATTACATAACATTTAACCTCTGTTAGTCTATGTCTACACTGCACAGTTATTTCGGAATAAGGTATTCCGGAATAGTTATTCCAAAATAGCTTATTTTGAAATAGCATGTCTACACTGCAGGGAGGCCTCAAAATTAGTCTGAGGCCGGCTTCCCTAATATAGACATGCTACCTAGATTTACAGATCTATGAGAAATAACTTAGAATGGCCCTGGTTGAGGGGCTATTTCGAAATGACAGAAGTAAAGTGTCTACACATGCCTTATCATATATAAAGTAGCCCAGTGTCTCTGAGTCTGTAACGCCGAAAAGCTGGCTGTTCTTTCTGGGTGGCACTGTTGCCTGAAATGCTGGCTGTTCTCTCTGGGTGGCGCTGTTGCCTGAAATGCTGGCTGTTCTCTCTGGGTGGCGCTGTTGCCTGAAATGCTGGCTGTTCTCTCTGGGTGGCGCTGTTGCCTGAAATGCTGGCTGTTCTCTCTGGGTGGCGCTGTTGCCTGAAATGCTGGCTGTTCTTTCTGGGTGGCGCTGTTGCCTGAAATGCTGGCTGTTCTTTCTGGGTGGCGCTGTTGCCTGAAATGCTGGCTGTTCTTTCTGGGTGGCGCTGTTGCCTGAAATGCTGGCTGTTCTTTCTGGGTGGCGCTGTTGCCTGAAATGCTGGCTGTTCTTTCTGGGTGGCGCTGTTGCCTGAAATGCTGGCTGTTCTTTCTGGGTGGCGCTGTTGCCTGAAATGCTGGCTGTTCTTTCTGGGTGGCGCTGTTGCCTGAAATGCTGGCTGTTCTTTCTGGGTGGCGCTGTTGCCTGAAATGCTGGCTGTTCTTTCTGGGTGGCGCTGTTGCCTGAAATGCTGGCTGTTCTTTCTGGGTGGCGCTGTTGCCTGAAATGCTGGCTGTTCTTTCTGGGTGGCGCTGTTGCCTGAAATGCTGGCTGTTCTCTCTGGGTGGCGCTGTTGCCTGAAATGCTGGCTGTTCTTTCTGGGTGGCGCTGTTGCCTGAAATGCTGGCTGTTCTCTCTGGGTGGCGCTGTTGCCTGAAATGCTGGCTGTTCT